TGTGTGTCTTTGAGATTCCATTTCTGCCTCTCGTCAGTTTTGGCACGTAGCTGGCTTTGATCAAAATTGATCAAAAGAATCCTTAAAACTCCTCGCCCGCCGACACGCCGGTTGATGAAACCAGAAATACATTTGGGCTTACACCTGAATTGCTGAGGATGTGTGACACGGAAAGCTTCTCCATCCCATTCTGTCCTCCTTTTGAGCCTTCTTGAAATATTCCCAATGTGCCACCATTTAAAAAACCCAAACCGTTCATATGCACGGATGATTTATGGATGCCTTTAGCTTGACTCAGGGTTGGCTTAACATATTAGGAGCTGATGAATTCCCCATAGTTTGACTCAGAATTGACTTAGCATTAATAACCGGTTAATTCTCCTTAGCTTGACTCAGAGTTGGCTTAAAGTTAGGAACAGATGGATTCCCCATCGTTTGACTCCGAATTGGCTTAACATTTATGACTGATATATATTCTCCTTAGTTTGAATTGGTGTAACATTCACGATGGGTGAATTCTCTCCTTAGCTTGACTCAGAGTTGGCTTGGTGTTAGTTTTGGGTAGGTTCTCCTCGACTTAGCGAATCCTTGTAGCCTTTTTATTTTTGAAATATTTGATGGCAACTAGATGGGAAGCAGGGAAGATGGCAACCCAAGCCTTGTTAGTTTCTTGTGGGTTTTTCGGGCTGTGTGGCCATGTTCTAGAAGAGTTTCTTTCGGACGTTTCGCCAGCATCTGTGGCTGGTATTTTCAGAGAATGCTGGAATGGAAGAGAGTGGGTATCCATTCCAGCATTCTCTGAAGATGCGAGCCACAGATGCTGGCGAAATGTCCGAAAGAAACTCTTCTAGAACATGGCCACACAGCCCAAAAAACCCACAAAAAACTTTACAAACTTTGACTTTACAAAGCCTTGTTATTGATTGATTGATTGATTGATTGATTGATTGATTGTAAAAGGACCTTTTTTCCAAAGTTGGTCTGATTTACCAGGACTTTTTCTTTGGTAAATTCGGACGAATGCAGGCACTCGGACGCGTTGTCCATTGAACACACTAAGAGGAGGAGTGATATAAATGGAGCAAGATAGTATGCTGCTAATTGAGCAGATCTTTGGAACAAGATCCAGGTCATTAACTCGACAAGTTTTAAACTCAACCCGAATGATCAGCTGTTGTGAGCGTTTGCGCTGCAGCTCTTAAAAAGGGGTTAGAATTGGAGAGAGTGTAAAGCGCTTTGGGCTTTGACTTTGTCACGTTCTCTGAATTTCCTATAAATTCATCACCGATCTTGGCACGGAATCGATCTAAATTGGCTTTTTACCTCTGGTTTTGACACTGGCTTGTGCAACAACACATGCCCCGGGGCTGGCTTGAGCTCAGGAGCCCAGCTTGGTCCTTCCCGGCTGAACTAAAATAATATATTTTTCCTCTGCTTGGTGGCTATTAGAATCCGTTGTGTCTGTGTTGGGCCGCAGGTGCTAAACACATCCAGGATGCAACACACACTTTGTGTCAGCTTGTCGATAACTGTCAGCCTGGGAAGGGAATTAATTTCTAAAACATTGCCCCGTTCTGCCGTCCTCGTCACTTCCCAGCATTGCAATAATATCCCAATCTCCAGCTGAGATCTTCACTGCAATCCACAGCTGTCTTTTCGAGTTTCCACTCCAGCCTTCAAAACTTAATATTGGTACCCACTGGTTGCTGTCAAGTTAATTGGCAATCTGGATTGGACATTCAGAATTTGACCGGTGAACTTATTTTTAGCAAAAAAAACAACCTTGGTATCATAAAACAGATCCAGGAGTAGCCGTGTCATCCATGTAGCGAAGGACGATAACATCGCAAATCCACAAAACAGGGATACCTTTATTGGGCCGACCCAAAGGCACAAAATACAGGTGCAAGCTTTCAAACTCCAAGGGATTCTTCATCAGGCCGAAATCCACAAAACAAGCCAGCCACAATGACCAAAATAAATGTTGCAAGCTTTTGAAGCTCCCGGGGCTTCTTCATCAAGCAAAGATGTTTAAAAACAAGAGAAAGAAAATTAGGACAGTGTTAGTCATCAGGTTGATTTTTGTCAAGGTGTTGTTGGTGTTGTTCAAAGATTGTGTGGAGGGTTATCCATGCAAGGACGTCGCTCCTCTTCCTGGCTGTGTGGATACTGGGAGATGAAGTCCAGGAAATAAAATTTAAATTGCATTAGCAAGACAAAAAAGATACTTCCTTTGAGATCCAGGCTCCCTGTGAGGCTACCAGTCCTTTTTAAAGCAGAGAAGATTGAATTTGTGGGTTGAAACATGGAATTTTACTGCCCCAATAGGTGTTGCAAAGAGTTGTGCTCCGTAGGCAGAAGTCCTTGCAGAGCTCCCCATCCCCAGGAGCTTCCAAATGACCGAGAATAAAGGAAGAGCGGGCGAAAAAGAAGACACATGCCCATATTTCATGGATTTCTAGCTCATTTCCATTCCAGTTTTATCCTGGAGCCCTTGACATGAAAGCCACCAGCAGCTGCTGATAGAGAGAGACCTTACTTAGCCTGGCTTGCTAAAAGATTGGGAATAAGACTCACCCTTCAAAAGAAAACCCCAATGGCTTTGCTCTTCCTCCCCAAATCTAGGAAGAGGAGAAGAGAGAGAGAGCAAAGCCAACCCTCCAGCCCCCCAAAATCAAAAAATTAAAATGTAGTTGGTGTTTTGTCCAGGCATCTGATGCTGTCACAACAAACCATGGTTATAATAAACCATGGTTTATGACTGAAATGGAGGGTGACTTAGAGATTGAAGCAGCCTTGAGCAAGCTGGATGCTGTCAAGGATTATGGCTATGGTCATTGACATCAGTGGACTCCAGGGAGTTTCATGGTTTATGTGATAAATCATAGTTTATTGCGATAAATCCCTGTGATAAACCATGATTCATTGCCGCAAGAATGTGCCCAGCTTTTCTCCACGTTCCCATACCCTTCTCCCCTTTTCCCAGAGTAACTCTCCTCTAGCACCACATTGCCAAGGAGCTGAGACTATTCCTGCCAGCTTTCTTCGCCGTGTGGCTTTCGTAGCCGGCCGTGGAAATCGGAAATGCAGTCAGCCCTCCATAGCCACAGATATTTTTTTTTTGTCCATGGACGCAGGCACCTGTGGCTTGAAAATATTTTGAAAAGATAGGAATTCCAAAAACACCAGAGCTCGATTTTGCCATTTTATACAAGGGGCCATTTTACTGCGCCGTTGTATATAACGGGACATGAGCATCCATGGATTTTGGTGACCAGAGTTTGGTCATTCTTTTTGGATACCAGAAGCCCACCGTACGGATGGCATGCTAAATAATCGTGACTTTGGTATTCAGTGATAGATCTTTATACTTGAAGGCCTTGGCCTAGAACTCACTGAAAATGAAATTATAGAACGGCCCAGGCAAAACCATCCCTTTTAATCTCTCGTCGGTTGTGCGCAACTAGTCTTCGGATCCCAAAAGAAGAGGATCTACCCTTTGGTGGATAGGTGGGTAGGAACCAACATGAGAGGGAATGAATATATATATATATATATATATATATATATATATATATATATATATATATATATATATATATCCATCCATCCAGAAGTGCTACAGAAGCAAAAGACTGACTTTATATTTAGAAGAAGAGAAATTAGCTGAGATATTTTCCGCTCACTGTTCCTTTTCGGGAGCACTGCGATAACCGAAATGCATACAGATAGACCAGGAAGGCGTGGTTGCGGGTGCAGATGGTTTTTCAAGCAGGAACATTCTGTTTTTTTAAGAGGCGAAGGGTTTTAGAAGCAGCACGGGGAGAACGTTAACCCTCTATCCAAATTTAAATAGCCTGAGACTTCTTATATTTTGGAGGAGAGAAAGGAAATGTTAAAGCACAACCGCCTTTGCAAAACTTCCTCTTTGCAAAGGAGGTCTTTCTAAAGTAACTTCTGGACTAGACGCCTGTTTGCATCATGCATGGATATTGGATTTCCATATTATATACAGTGGGCCGTCTACATTTGCTGGGGTTAGGGGTGCAAAGACCCCCATGAAAGTGAAAAATGACGCAAATTTTAAAAATCCTCTTTTTTTGCCTCTCTAGGAATCTCTTGGTCCTCCACTGCAACTCTATGGCCAACATCTGGCAGATATTGACCATAGAATTGCACCAGATGACCTACAAATGCCCAGGGAAGTGTTTTCCCTAGGAATCTCTAGGTCCTCCAGTGTGACTCTATGGTCAATTTCTGGCAGATTTGAGCCGGAGGACCTAGAGATTCCTAGAGAGGACATATTAGTCAAATGTACAAATAATCAAATCTGCAAAAGTCAAATCCACAGATGTGGAGAGCTTGCTGTATGCAGTTAAGATGGGAGTATCCAATTGTTGTTAATCCATGGAAAGGTATCATTATATTAGCCTTAAAAGAGAACATCTCGCTCAATATTTATCTAGTAACCCAATAAAAATGAAAGGTTATTCCTCTATAATACGGTTCGACATATTCCCATCTCCTTTAGTTTGGTCATTGCTCCTTTGGCGCTTGGAACAAAACATTGTTGGGTAAGATTGGCCAGTATCAGTAATGCTGGCTGCATCCGCACTGCAGAAATAATGCTCTTTGGCATCATTTTAACTGCCATGGCTATAGAGTCTTGGGATTTGTAGTTTTGGGAGGCATTTAGCCTTCTCTGTCAGAGAGCTCTGGTGCCCTTGGTGTTCTTGTCATGTTCCTTCAAGTCATTTCCGACATACGGCGACCCTAAGGCAAACCTATCACAGGGTTTTCTTGGCAAGTTTCTTCAAAGGAGTTTTTTCCCTTGCCATCATCCTCTGAGGCTGAGAGAGTGTGGCTTGCCCAAGGCCACCCAGTGAGTTTCATGGCCAAGCAGGGAATCGAACCCTGGTCTCCAGAGTCAATGTCCATCTCCCAAACCGCTACGCTAACCTGGTTTAAAGCAGCCAACCTTGCTTTACAGTCATAACCAGAACTTTGAATTGTGCCCAGAAATGAACCCACAGGCAAGTCACACTGGGTGATCTTGGACAAGTCACACTCTCTCAGCCTCAGGGGAAGGCAGTGGAGCTGTTGCAAGAAGGGATATTCAAAGCTTTGGATGCAGAGCACGCGATGAGAGCGTGGAGCTGTGGCTGTTGGAGGGTACGGCTTCCAGAAATCCTCCATCGCAGCGTCTCCAAGTTGGCTGCCCAGCCTGGCAGAGGTGAATGGGAGACGGTGCCCTCCTGTCCTCCTGCCGTCCTGGAATTTCCCAGGCTTGGCAAGGCTTTGTGCCGATGGGCCCAGGCGATGTACTTTTTTTAGTCTGAAGGATGAGCCGCCAAATTGGAGCTGATGTGTCCTAATACCTCTCCTGGCAGGCTCTGTTAAGGGCTCCCAGAGAGGATGAGGAGTGTGCTACAAATCACTAAAATATTAGCATGCAGATTTTCTTTCTGTTTTCCCATTCCCCCTTCTTCTTGGACATGAGATTTGGAGGCTCCTTCCGTCATTATTGCGTGCCTTCAAGTTATTTATGACTTATGGCGATGATTATTTTTTTTAAGCCTACAGTATCTGGTATTCCCAGGTGGTCTCCCATCCAAGTACTAACCAAGCCCGACCCTGCTTAACTTTCAAGATAAGATGAGATTGGGTGTGCTCAGGGTGGTATGGCCGTAGGCTACTTATGGCGACCCTAAGGTGAACCTGTCACAGGGTTTTCTTGGCTAATTTCTTCCAATTTCTTCCTTGCCTTCCCCTGAGGTTGAGAGAGTGTGACCTGCCTCTGGTCACCCAGTGGGTTTCCATGGCTGAGCAGAGAATTGAACCTTGGTCTCGCAGAGTCCTAGTCCTGCTCTCCCACCACTACACCAAGCTGTCTCTCATTCATGGGGCTTTCTTGGCAAGATTTGTTCAGACAGGGTTCCCCCATGCCTTCCTCTGAGGTTGAGAGAGTGTGAACCTGGTCTCCAGAGTCATAGTCCAATGCTCAAACCACTATACCACACTGGCTCTCACTGGAGGCTCCTAGCTTAGGGATCTCTGCACCCAAAGTGGTGGCTCTTGGGTCCCATGCGATGGCATTCTGGGATTTGTAGTTTTGTGAGCTATGAGATAAAGTCCAAAACACCTGGAGGACAAAACTTTGGGAATGACTGGTTTACATTAACAAGGTTTAAACTGTGGCTTAAACTAACAAGATTTAAACCAGGATTTAAACTAACCTGGATTAAACCATGGCTTAAAACAAATGCTTTTAAGCATTCAGACACAGATGAAGGGTAAGCTGCCAAACTGGAGCTGACACGTTCTAATACCTCTCCTGGCAAGTTCACTTAACTAACCAGGTTAATTTAAGCCATGGTTTAAACCCAGTTAGTCTAAACCAATGATTCCCAAGCCTTTGTCCTCCAGGTGTTTTGGACTTCAAACCTGGATTGAACCATGGTTTGAATCAACTTGGGTTAAACCATGGTTTGAATCAACTTGAGTTAAACCATAGTTTGAACCAACCTGGATTAAACCATGGTTTGAACCAACCTGGATTAAAACCATGGTTTGATCCAACCTGGGTTAAAACCATGGTTTGAACCAACCTGGGTTAAACCATGGTTTGAACCAACCTGGATTAAACCAGTCGACTGATTCTTAAGTAGTTTTCCCTTTCCAAAGCAACCTCCCCACGTTAACCTCCAGCTCTCCTTTCCTCCCTTTCTAGGTGCTGACCCAGCTCTGGAGGTGCTGTGAGCTTTGCTGAACCACGGGGCCAAATCCGGCTTGAGGTCGGGGGCCTCGGCCATCTGTGCCAGCATGAATCCCGGCCCCGGGATGTCTCTCCTCATCCCCATCGTCCACTGCCTCTCCTTGCTGCTGATCGGCTGCGTCGCTGAAAGTAAGTCTCCTCTCCGCTCCTTTTTATCCGGCTCTATTGCAGTCTTGGACTTGGAAGGCTGAGAGAGTGTAGCTGGGTTTTTTTTATTATATAGAGGGGGGCTAAATGTGCAGCTTTCTGAATTTTAATTCTCCCCGCTGAGTGTTATTGTCGTTGTTCTTTATATCCTGCCTTTCTTAGCACTGGGACTCAAGACCACTTGCCATAATAATAATAATAATAATAATAATAATAATAATAATAATAATAAAAATAAAAATAGACGATGATGATTATGGGTCTCCCCTGGGCCTAAAAGTGACCCAGGCATCCCCCAAAACATGGAGAGAATGTCCCCCTATGACCCATAGAGTTATTTGGGAACATGCTTTTCCAAAAATGTATTTATTTGTTTGTTTGTTTGCAGGAATGGCTGCAATGGGGAGATGCAGTCCTCTAAGGTTTAAACCTGGGGTGGGGGGCTAATGTGACCCCTTAGATTTCCATAGTTGCCCATCCCAATAAACCGAGGCCATAAACTGGAACGTTGGCTGCATCCGCACTGCAGAACTAATCCGGTTTGGCCTCTTGGGGACTGCAATTCATAGAATCATAAGAGTTGGAAGAGAGCACAAGGGCCAGCCAGTCCAAACCGCTGCCGTGCAGGATTCCCAGAATTCCATAGCATGGCACCATGGCAGTTAAAGCAGTGCCAAACCAGATTAGTTCTGCACTGCAGATGTAGCTTGTGTGTAAATCCGGTGCTGCTTTTCCCCTTCTATTTTGTGTTGCATTTTCTCTCCAGCTTCCCTTATAGAGCAGGTGAGGACAGCGCGTCTCTTCCTGCCATCGTCTCCCCTCTCTTCTCCTCCTCCTCCATCTCTGTCTCGTTCCCTTCTTCCGTCCAAGGACACCCAATTCAGCTGATGTCGAGTGTCACCTTGCCCGACTGCTTGGATCAAATTGAATCGAGCGGCGGTGATGTCATTTTTGTCCTC